TGCAGTACAGCCCCCAGGCAGCACTGGAGGGACAGCATGGCATCACCTGCAGTTGGTGAAAAGGAGATGTAGAGCTGGGTGTCATCAGCATATTGATGACACAATGCTCCATACCCCCTGATGACCCCACCCAGTGGCCTCATACAAATGTTAAACAGCATTGGGGAGATAGTCGACTCCTGTGGAACCCCACATTTGAGACTCCACAGGGCCGAAACACTCTCCCCAAGCTGCACTCTCTGGGGGCTGTCCTCCAAGAAGGAACGGAACCAGGCAAGTGCCAAGCCACCGATTCCCAACTTGGAGAGCTTTCCCAGGAGGATACCGTGGTTGACGGTATCAAAGGCCGCCGAGATGTTGAGGAGGACCAACAGAGATATTTTACCCCTGTCGGCCTCCCTCAACAGGTTATCATATAGGGCGACCAATGCTGTCTCTGTACCATGGTGCAGCCTGAAGCCCGACTTAAACGGATCCATGGCATCTGTTGGATCATAATCAGCTTTTGATCTACAACAATTCCAAGATTCTTCTTGTTCATAGTATTACTGAGCCAACTATTCCCCAGTTTATAACTGTGCATTTGGTTTTCCCCCCTAGGTGGGGGGAAATCTTTGTTCTTATCCCTGTTAAGTTTCATTTTGTTGTTTTCAGCCTGTCAAGATCTTTTTGGTTTTTTTTCTGTCATCCAAGGTATTAGCTGCTCTGCCCAATTTTATGTCATTCTCAAATTTGATAAATATTCCCTGCATTCCCTCATCCAAGTCATTAATAAAATATTGAAGAGCACTGGGCACGGGATTAAGCCTTGTGGTACTCCACTTGTTACCTCCTCCCAGTTTGAGAAGGAGCTATTGATCAGCAGTCTCTGAGTATGATTCTGTAACCTGGGTGTATCCAGCTGACAGTTGTACTGTCCAGTTCACATGTAGTTACCTTGCTAATCAGAATATCATGGGGCGCTTTGTCAAAGGCTTTGCTGAAGTCAAGATATATTACATCTATGGTATTCCCACTGTCTACCAGGAAGACTATCCAATCAAAAAACAAGATAAGATTAGTCAGGCAGGATTTGAGTACTTTTGTAGTTTTACAGCAGTTTTGGAGTAATGGCCAAACCAGGATAAAAAAAATTATTTTTAATATTTCAGATTATTTATTCTCATGCTACATTATTTGTGTTTCTTCTTTTTGTTTACCCTACTTCAGTAAAGGAGATCTGCAGAAGGAGGCTTCCACTTGGCAAAATTAATAAGATTAAGGGTATACCTCTGTCTCCCCACCCATATCTGTATTACAGATGGCAAGATGGACCATGGCAGGATGGAATGTGCTCTGCCAACTTGGCTTCCTAATTCTGTTCCATATTATCAGAACAGGATCAGGCCATAGCTTTTAGAGACTTAGAGAGAAAGAGAGAGTATTCTTTTTCATGGTTTCTGTGAATGCACACTAATGAGTATCATTCCACACATGCATGAATCCTCGGAACATTCTAGAGCTTGGAAAAAGGGAAATCGTTAGAGACCCCGCCCTCCCACATTGCCTCTTCGCATCTCTAACGGTCCTCTCTCACTTCCTTTTCTGCTGCCATTTTGGACGCATCTAAGGAGTATTCTGGAGTTTGCCACCTTTCGGCTTCTTTTCTACTTGCTTACCTGTCTCTGTCAACTTCTTCGCTGTCTGTGAGTCTCTTTCCCCTGCAAAGGATGAAGAAGACAAACTTTATAGACTTTTACCTTTCTAGCTTCAACCTCTTTTCTCCTTTAAGCCTTTATGGCCTCAAAGGGCCTCTTCAAAAAGTACCACCACTGCAGCAATAAACTTCCTCTGTTGGACAGCCATTCCCTCTGTTTTTTCTGCCACGGGGAGCAGCACAAGCCCCAATCCTGCCACAGTTTCACTAAGACTGCCCTTCACCACAGACAAGACTGCCTCAAGGTCCACCTTTGGGAATTGTCTCTTTGGGCTCCCTCTACTAGGGATCCACCTCAGCTCCTGCCCCTTCTGCTGCCACCCAGCTCTTGGCTTCCAAGTCTTCGGTTTCAAAACCTTCAAAACCGCAGACCTTGGCACTGAAGGCCTCTGCCTCGAAGTCCAAATCTTCTAAGAAGATAATTCCACCTCTGATGCTGATTCTTTCCCTAAAAAGCATGCTAGGAATCGGGAGCAACAGCAACCACAACCTAATCCACTGCCAGCTGTTTTGGAGCCCATCTCTCTACCATCAGATGCCCCATGAACTCTGGGATCACTCACCTTCTCCAGCCTTCAGCCAGTCATCTGCTTGGGCTGATGACATTTCATCAGCCCAAAGTCAACATCACTCTCCAACCCCCTCTGCCTCACCATCAGCATCTCCTCAACATACCATTCTTCAGCAACCTTCGCCTACTCAACTGATAGCAGAGACACAACCTATCTCTTGGGCCTCAAGACCAACCACCTATCTAGAGCCGTGTCACTGAGCTCGATACCCTGCAGATTGCTGCCCAGACCACTAGTTGCCTGAATCCAAGGCTGTCAATATCTACTATTACCCCCATTACTTCCAGTTACCACCATGGGAAGACATGGGCCTCCCCCCGATTGTGTTGCACCTCTGGCTCACAGTCGGTTGCCCAGCATGGACCTCTGGGGGCTACTATTAGTATGATGTGATCAGGCAAAGTCCAGACCATGCTATTAGCTCCTGAAAAGACTATTGGTAGTCTTGGATAATATCACTTGCTTATCCTTTTATCATTTTTAGTCTTTTGCAACTTTTTTTAGTTAACTTTTTTATTTGTAAACTCACCTGGACTGACTTTACAATGAAAGGTGGTAATTAAAAGATAGTGTATTCATTACATGAATAGATATGTTCATGAAAGTGAGATTCAACAGATTAAGAATCATGTAAGTATAGAGTTTATTTCCAGTCTGTCTGTTGCAGGAACTTCACAGTTGTCTTCTGACTCAAATTAGGTCTTTTACTGCCTTATAGTGGAGAACTGTGGCCTACGAACATTTTGAACAAAATAACAACTCTGTGTTTTGCAGCATTTCTTTCATTGCTATTTTGAACATTGTACTTGCTTTATGATTGCTATATGGAATATGACTGTGTCGGTATTATCAGTCATGCAGATATGTATTCTACACACCTCTGGCCTTACCATGCCAATTTTTTGCTTATTTGTGAATTTTAAAGATTGGTGTCTTTTCTCTAACAGAAGGCTGTTTTTTTCCAGTGGAGATGTTTCTCAGCAAAACAAAGAGGGAGGTGATTTGGGGTGCATCCAGTGGTCTGCCTGAATCTGCTCTGCTGGAGATCCTTGACAATTGTTGGGTTCTGCAGCAGGAAAGGAAATTGTAACAAATCATTTCCTTCCTAGTTGTGTTGGTAAAAGCCTCTGCTGTATCACCAAGTTGTACACAGAGGGACATCAGCTGGCTTCATCCCATTGTTTATCTTTTTTTAATGCTTTAATAATTCCCCACTTCATGATGCTTAACCTCCTTCTTAGTTATCTTCCATTTGTCTCCCTCCTTTAGTGTTTACAGCTTCTGTTGATGATTCCACTCACTATTTTTTATTTTCCAACAGGCAAGTATGCCATGCGGGACCTAGTTCATCGGCTTCCAGGAGGTAACAACAGTAACAGTTCAGCAAGTAAGGCCATGTCGGATGACACTGTTACTGCCATTTGTTGCACCTTACATGAAGTCATCACAAAAAACATGGAAAATGCCAAGGCCTTACGGGACGCAGGAGGAATTGAAAAGCTTGTTGGCATTTCCAAGAGTAAAGGAGACAAGTATGTTCTGCAAATGATCTCATGCCTATTAGCTATAATTTAATTAGCACTTGTCTGCTTTAATGATTTCCTGGAATACTGTAGTTTAATCATGCACTAGTAAACTTGACAGATGATGGAGAATGGGTGGGGGATAGTAAGTGGGTAATTTTGCATCAAAGTATCTGTACTTGGTGACAGCCTCCAATATGAACTGGGGCAGGGGGCTGGTCTGTCTCATGGTGGAGACAAGTTACTGAGAAAACAGAACACTCCGAAAGATAAGAGACATTTTGAACTGCAGATTTCAAGGAAGCTGTTAAGGACTTATATGGAAGTATCATGGATTACAGTATAGGAAGAACTATGGGAGGTACTATGGTACTATAGGTACTATGGAAGAAATGTCTCGGCAAAGAGCCTACATCATCATCTCTCTTCAGACAGATCTGTTTCTGTTATGAAAGAGATGATGGAAGGCAGGGGAGGCTGCTGTGTTCCTTTCAAGGTGTGTAAGCTCAACATATTTTAATGTGTGGCTGAACAGAGCTATAGTTTTTTTATAAGATCCTCCTTTGCCCTGTCCACACTAAAAATATAACAATGAGTGATAACAGTTGGAATTTGTAGCATCAAAAATGTGTTTTTCATTAATTGGAAATGCTTCAGGAGGATGCTTTTGTCAGGACCGAATCCCCCTAAGGAGCATGGGTCCTTCGGTCAGGGAGTTCCTCAGCCACAAATCTACCACCTTTACGCTGGGGCAAGTCCTCAATGTCCAGCTGTGCATAGCCTTTGTGCCTAGAATAAGCTTGACCTTAAAAGAACACTTTACTTTTACTCAGTACTTTGCAAGCACAGCAACATTAGCTTTGTGATTCCTAAGAATTCACAACAGCTCAGTTAATTAGGACTTCTCTGGTACCTAGTCAATGGCCGTTACCCCTCCTCTGGATTTAGCCAAACCCTGCTGGTCCAAGAGACAATCCTTGGTGAATATTTTTATAATTAATTTTTATTAAGGAAATATAGTTTCATAGAAACAGTTTGTTTTGCTCAAGCATAGCATAAAAAACATTTTCAAAAAGGTTACCATAATTAAATACAACTAATTCCCATTAAAAAATAACAAACACTAAATCTGAGCTAAGTTGGGCTAGCCCCACCTCCTTCTTTCTCTTACCTACATTCTCTGCCTTTCAAGCTACATCAAGTTCTATTCTACGCCATGATAATGGTGATGAAGAACCTCTCTCACATAACCCATCATCCATTTTCTACATTCCTCAGACCTCCTCCTTCTTGATCATAAACAATCAACTCAGAGATGTGTAGCTGTCCATTCTGCCCACAATTCTCATGGAGATGCAGTTGGTTTATCTCCATTCCAATTAGAAAAGAATTTGTTGTGTCTGTGCGCTCTGGGCCTCTTCGTCCTTGCATCCTTATCAGGTTTCACGCTGTACCAGGCTGGCTGTAAATTAAGAAAAAAACCTCTCTGCCTTTCTCACATTCCCATGTCTTCCTTTCATTTTTAAAGCCT